TCAAGAAAACAAAGATAGGCAATATCATGATGGATGGAAAAGAGATTGAAGCTGTCAACAACTTCATTTTGCTTGGATCTACATTTGGTACCAGGAGTCAGGAAATAAAGAGATGTATTCCACTGGGAAAAGTCTCTATGTAGGGATCTCTCCAGATTATTGAGCAGTAATGACGTTAGTTTGAGGACTAAGATGTGTCTGATTCAGGCCATGGTCTTTCCAATCACTTGCTATGCATCTGGACAATGAGTAAGGATGACAGAAGAATTGACGCCTTTGAGCTGTGATGTTGGAGAAGAGCACTCAACATCCCATGGATAGCCGAAAGAACAAACAAACATGTCTTGGAGAGGGTGCAGCCAGAGTGCTCTTTGGAGGCAAGAATGTTGATCGTTCACCTCACATACTCAGGCATGTTTCTAGTAAGGGCTATTCCTTGGAGAGGGAAGTGATGCTAGGAAGGGTAAAGGATCATTGTAGGAGAGGAAGACCCTCGACCATGTGGATGGATATGGTGACTGCCACAATGGGCTCTAGTGTGTCAGGAAGTGTGAAGATGGCACAGGATAGAACAGGGTTCAGATCTGTTGTTCATAGTGTCGCTATGAGTTGTACTCAACTTGACAGTGCCTAACAACAATGATACACTTATGATTTCTATTGTTGTTGTTGTTATTATGTGCATCATATCACTTGTGACCCATAGCGACCCTATGTACAAGAGCTGTGAACCCTACTCTATCTTGAGCTAACCTTACTGTCTCCAACACACCTAACCTCATTACTCCAGTCACTGAGCGAATCCATCTCATCGAGGGTCTTCCCCTTCTCTGCTGCCCCTCCACCTGCCCAAGCATAAATTTCTCCTCCAAGGACTTGTCCTTCCTTGCAACAAGCCCAAAGTATGTCAGATGGAGCTTCAGAATCCTTGCCTTCAAGGAGCAGCCTAGTTTCACCCTCTCTAGGATGAACTTGTTTGTTTTCTTAGCCGTCCATGGTATGTATACTCAATACTCTTCTCCAGCACCACAGCTCAAAGACATCAATCATCTTTCTATCATCCCTAATCTATCTGATCCATAACAAGTAATTTCAAAGACTATGGCCTGGACCCAGAGCACCTTAGTCTGGCATTGTTGCTGTTCAGTACTTTGGTGAGGTCTCTGATAGCAGACATTCCAATGCAATTCATCTTCTGATACTGAGTATCAGTACTGCTGGTACTAAGAGTATTGATTGTGGAGCCAAGCAAACTAAAGCTGTTTACAATCTCAATCTCTTCATCATCCATCATGATGCTGCTAATCGGCCCAGTGGTGAGAATCTTTGTTTTCTTGATGCTGAGCTTCAATCCATATTTGAAGGTCTATATTTAGTCTAAATATTAAATGTTAGATGCCATCACATCAGTTATCCCTCATACTCTCATACAGGACAGAACAAAACTCTACTTGTCCTGAACCATCCTCACAATTAATGCTTTTTTTGAGGCCATTGTTCAGCCACAATGTCACTCTATCTCAGTAAGTACCTTTCTATCTTTTGCTAACCTACTTTTTCCAACAGCAATGAGTTTCTGTTTGTTGAATACTTTACTAAAGATGTTTTCCTTCTTCCAAGATTATCTTTCAAGGATTGGTTCCTCCAATAACACTTCCAAAGTACATAAGACAGACTCTTGCCAGCCTTGTTTCTGTGGAACATTCTGGATGTACTTTCTCCTAGACAGATTTGATCATTCTTCTGGCTGTCCATGAATATATTCTGTATTTTTCACAGATAAAATTCAGAGGCATCAATTCTTTGGTCTTCCTTATTCATTTTCCAGATTTTCCATGTACATTGTTGTTGTTGTGTGCCATCCAAACAGAACCAACTCACAGCTGACCCTCCAGCAGGTTTTCAGAGGCTGTAAATCACACAAGAGGATATTGCCCATCTTTCTCCCACTGTTCTTCCTGCTGGTGGATTCAGACCATGTGCATTTTCCTTGGCAGCGCAGCTCCTTACCACTGAGCCACCATAACTCCCTGAACCTTAGTCTTTAAAATTGTATCTTTGCTTTTTAACATTTTTTAAAAGTCCTTTTGCAGCAGATTTGCCCAATGCAGTACTTACTGATTAATATTTTTATGAGCATTAATTGTGTATCCAAATAAAGTGAAATCCTTGACAAC